GCTGCGCTGCAGCGACTGCATCGTGTGGAACCGGCAGCAGACGTGGCTGTGCGCGGTGCCGCTGCTCATCGGCTGCGTCGGCCTGGGGCTCAGCCTCATGCTGCTCAAATGGATCGTGGTGGGCTCCGTCCAGGAGTACGTGCCCACCGACCTGGTGGGCTCCAAGGGCATGGGCCAGGACCCCTTCTTCCTCTCCAAGCCCAGCTCCTTTCCCAAGGCCATGGAGACCACCACCACGACCACCGCCACCGCTCCCCCTGCCACCCCCTCGGCTGGGGCCGGGGCCGGCGGCGCCGCCTCCTCCAGGACGCCCAACCGGATCAGCACGCGCCTCACCACCATCACGCGGGCGCCCACTCGCTTCCCGGGCCACCGGGTGCCCATCCGGGCAAGCCCGCGCTCCACCACGGCACGGAGCTCCGCAGCACCCCCGACGGCCCTGCCCACCACCACGGCGCCCATCGCCGGCAGCAGCACGCCGGGCTCGCGGCCGCCAGCACCTGGAATCCCCAGCACCCAGGCGATGCCCTCCTGGCCCACTGCGACGCACGCTACCTCCTCCTACCTCCACGACTCCACTCCCGCCTGGACCCTGTCTCCCTCTCAGGACGCTGCCGCCGCTGCCGCCGCCGCCTCCACCGCTCCGGCACCGAGCACTGGCCCGAAATTCCGTAAGTAATGCGGCGGTGCCTCCGCTTGGACCCGGGCGCTCTGCCCTCCTGCCGAGCCCTCCTGCCGACTGTCTGTGCCTCCCACCTTCCCTGGCTGGCCCGGAGCATGGGATGGTACCCCGCTGTGGCCTGTGTCCGGTCCCGCGGGCAGCAGCGCGGCTGGGAAACGAGGCAGCTCCTGCAGCTCCTGGGAAGGTTTTTGGGTCCCGAAGGAGAACAGAGCTCTGGCCCCTTCGAAGGGTTAATTAAGGCCAGTGCCTCCTTCTCACTGCAGCCCTTCGGGCCCAGAGCCTCCTCCTGAGTCTGCACCTGCCCCAGCTGGGAGGGAGAGAAGGGGGGAAATAGGGCCTCCCCAAAGGGTCCTGGGCTGGCCAGTGGGGGACGAGGGGAGAGAGGTACCAGCAAGCTGACCCCAAGAGAAGTGGTGCCCCTGTGTAAGCCAGGAGGAAGTGGAGGTGTTGGTGAAGGTAGTCCCAGTCCCTCCAGTGGCCTGAGGGGACAGCGGCCGAGGGTGTTCATTAGAAGCCACTGGGAGAGGTTGGGAAAAGAGGGGACCCTGGCTAAGCTCATCGCCCCACAAACTGCCCATGCTAGTGGAGGTGTAGGGATTGATTATGTGGCCACTGAACTGAGTTAACTAAGAGGAAGAAGAGGAGAGACCTGCAGAGAGGCTGCCCCTGGGGTCCTGGAGAAGAAGGGCTTTTTAAAATTATTATTTTCAGCTCTGCTAAGCTTTTGTTATGTTCTCCCAAAGGTGGGGTGTGAACCTGATCTCTTTGCCCTCTCAGCCTGGAAAAGCAGGCAGGCTGGGCCGGAGCTCTCTGCTAGGGAAGGGAAAACCCACCCCTGCTGGGCTCAGGTTTCTCAATGGCTGGAATTCTGTGCTGCCTGCTTGGTTTATGCCGGTCTTGCATAGTGGACCTCCAGTCCCATACCTTTCTATTACAGGTGTACTGCCCGATGTATTTTTCTGACAGCTTTAGGTAACTAGTTGACTTGCCACTCCCACCCACTTACCTTATTGTAAAGAAATCTTGGGCACCTCTTTTTACTTGATGACTGACCAAGGTGTGGGAATAGTTTGTTCCACCTGTGAAGGTTATTTAGGACAAACCCCCAGCTTGCCAGTTCAAGTTCTCTGCAAGGCGGATCTGAAAAAGCTGATTTTGCTGTCTGGATACTGTATTTCTGTTTGTTTGGGGCTGCAACATCTGGGGGAGACAGTACTCTTCATTAACTCCTCAGCGCTGGTAGAAATTCCTGGCTTGCTTTCTGTCATCTGGTATTTTTTTTTCCATATTTCTAAGCTGCGATCTTATTGGGGGTGTTATTTAACCCTTGAAACTTTTTTCCAGCATTTTTAAAATTAAGGATTAGATGTACCTGTAAGTAGGATCCAGGAGAGAGACTCCAGTTTCCCTGTTCTTGCTTTGGAGACAACAGGCCAGAGGATGCCTGCCAGTGAAGAAGGAGAGGGGAAAGAAGGATTGTGCCACCACCAGAAGGGCAGGAGAGCCAGAAACTTACAGCTTCCCAGCTCTCCTCAGAGCACTCTTTTCTGAAAGCAGTTTGAAGGCTGCTCTCAAGCATCTGGCTTGAGTTTTGTGGAGGAATGATGGTTTTGCGAGCGCATGAATTTGCTGAAAATAGGTGGCCACGGAAGCCCTAGATTTTTATCTTTTGATGCAGTTGGTGTGGATAATGGAGCGTTCCTAGCCCAGTGTGGGTTCAGAGAGGTGCTCCCCTTGGTGGGCTGTTTCTTGTTCTTTTCCAATTGATTTCCTTGTGTTCCATTCTGGGGAGGTCTTCAGAGAAAAAGCCCAAGGTAATTATTCCTGCCTGTCTGCTCTTTCTCCATTCTGTAGAAGGGAATGGCAGCCTGTTTAATAAGTAATGATTACTGACAGGGCTCACCGCCCCAAGGAAAAGGGGAAAAATCTGTAAATGGTGTCAGTGTTCTCATGGACACATAAGCATTGTTTATTTTATTTGTGTCTGAGGTCTGGCTCTTTCTCTGTTTGAAATCTTTAACAAGGAGTTGAATTAAGGGCTAAAAATGAAGGTATGGAAATGTGGCAGAAATTGACCTGGTTTGCATACCTCGACAAGGGAAATGTTACTGAAAGAGAGATTATGTGGTTTCTATAAAAGGTGGGTTTTACATAGATAGGTGGTGTGGTAATTTAAAGAAAAAGCATACTTAATTATTGGGGTTTTTTTTTTTTTGATCTAAGATTGCAGGATGATTAACAAAAGGAAACAAAGATTTCATCTGAGGGATTATCAGCACTGCTACTCTGAGCTGAATTATGGCTTGAAGAGGTGGCATTCATATTTTTTCAGTTATTTTGATTATGTCACTAAAGTTCCCAAGAGAAAAATGCAAACTCCCTTCTTCCCTGGCTCCCCCCTCCATTCTTCAGTAGCTTTTTTTTTTTTTTTTTTCCTTTGCTTCTGTTTTTCTTTTCAACCTAAGTCATGGGTCCTGTATTTTTTGCACCTGAATATGGTCAAGTGTGATGCTCTGTTTTGTGAGGCTAACTGACAAATTCTTTAATGACCACGTCTCAGCTCTTGAATTGAACATCTCAAGGCTTGGAGAATGAATGTCTTTTGTGTTGATTTCAGAGCAATCAGAAAGCTCTGGTCTGTAAGGGCAGCACAGCTCTTTGGAGTGGGAGGCACTCGTTCATGGAGAATAAACACACTTGCTAATGGATAATAGGACGTTGGCTAGCGAAAGCTGTTTGTGTTATAGGAGAGGCCCAGTTGAGAGGACTGTAACTAGTTTTCTCTAGAATTGAAATAAAGGGGAAAAACATATTTAACAGCAGAAGAAGAAGTGCTTGGAATTTGAGTTTTGTCTTCTCTCCTTTCTTCCCCTTAGATCATGAATTGGACCAAAAGTCTCATCTGTGTCCCTAGAATATCTTGTCTCCCCAGTGTCCCAGTACCATTTCCCCCATAGGCTCCTTGAAAACAAGTGTTGGGCCAGGATGTAGCTCAGCGGCACAGTCCTGAAAAGTGCAAGGGCCTGATTTTCATTCAGGGCACAAACAACAATAACAACAACAAAATATAAGTATCTTAAACATATTGCCACTAGGAGGTTAGTTCAGTAAATGCCTTTTGAAGTATTTTATATGTGAAAGTGTAGATTGATTTACAGATTTTGTCAGTGCAGACTAGAGAACAATGGTTTTTGGTGACATCCTCTCCTTGTTTTAGCCTTTTTTACTTGTAATTTCAGATTTGAAACATATTTGTGTAATGTGTCTGAACTTACTGTAGATTACTTTTGAGTCCTGCCATTATTTTACTCAGCCACAAACTCTATTTAACAGGAGAAAGGGCAGTCAGTGGCTAAGTTCAAAGACAAAGACAGAAAGTACCTTTTAATGGACTGTTCTTCAGGGCATATTTGGAAAGTTATATAGCTAAGTCCTGTGATTAAGGTCATGAACATTGAATAGTGCATTTAGAGAAGGAATGGATGCCTTGTGTATCATATACATTTAAGCATGAGAGAGGCAAGTTTAATTTACCCAAGTCTGTTATAAATAAAACTTTATTTAGTCAAATCAATTGTGAGTTTTAAAAAAGCCCTTGATGAAATCAATAGTTTTCTTGTTTATTCTTTTCAACATCTTTACTCCTTCAATAAGCCTATTCTTGGTCATTTTGTAAGCACTCTCAGCTATACTTTGTTTAAACAAAGTTACCCCTATGCCTTATGTTCTGTCTACATGAGTCAAGGCCTTCAAAGAAGTCCCAACATAGTAGGTACTGACCCTAATCATGCATGGTAGCCAGTGCATGAAGATTCAGAGCTCAAGATCAGTACTATTTGATGAAATCCAGTTAAGAGCTTTTTTTGAATATATGTTGCAACCTGAGGTTATTTTGATTTCTTTTGGTCTTACTGTAGGATTATTGGACTTTTCTGCTTTAATCAGTTGCACTGTACAGTTCTGTTCTTGAGACACTTCCACAGTACTTCATGGTTCTAACCCCAAAGCAGTATGTGGGGTTGGGCGTTGGCTTCTTCTAGGGCTGCTTGGAGTTTGAGCTGAGTGTAGTGTTACAACACGGGTTAAGTGTTCCCGTCAATTCCTCATGACCAAGAGAGATATGGAGGTGTTTTTGCTATTAAGAGAACAGTTCCCGCGTTTAGCTTGTGAATCCACTCACCTTTGTATTTGTGTTATTTCCCAGATAGGCTTTATTTTAAACACACTGTGCCAGTCCACAAGCTTGTCAGAAAAAATAGTGAGCTGTTTGAAGCAATTTCTCTCTGCTCCTGAAGGGCTTGGCTTGTCTCAGTCTAGACCTGGCCACATGCAGTAGTCTGTGGCTCTTTGTGGAGCCAGTGTCTCTCTAGAGAGCTGTTGTGCACAGAGCAAGTTCCTTTGGCCATGCCCAACCTTTCAGTGTGGTCACCCCGTAGTCCACAGTGAGAAGAGAGCAGGTTTTCAACTTCTTTTGTAGATATCCTTTTCTCATAGCCTCTCACATCCAGTGCCTAGTGTATCTCCATATTTTATCTGGAAAATTGAAAATGGAACATGAAATTTGGCCCTGAACTATAAAAGAGCAAGAGAAGAGTCATAAATCTAAATCTTTAAAATACATTTGAATTGCTTCAGAATGGAACTGAACTTCATTTTTCTTACCTTCAGTCTGTTTTTGTCTTTAGATAAGTGTACTGAGTAAGGCACAGCCTTCAGATTGCCCGACACATTCCACTGAAAGGCTCAAGAGTTCCATTTTCTCCTCCCTGGAACATTCTCTCTAGATCTGTACACAACTCGGTCAGTAGTGGATGCAACTTTGTGTGTCAGCATGCAGGCATCTCGGAACCGGTGCTCCCCATCCATGCAGCTCTCGACAGGAATCCTAGCACGCTTGTTTGCTTTTTTGGTTTTGTTGGCCTTTCAGTGAACATTTGAGTCTTCCATTGTCATGAATCATGGCTCTGATTGAAGACTTTTTACAAATCT